TTCTTTAAAAAATTAGTGAACTTTGTTATTCAAGTAAATGTTGCTTTTCCTCTGTGTTTTCACAAAACTCTATTCACAGTAAAACTTCCTGAGCTGATATTGTGGCACAGCAAGTTAAGCCATTACCTGCCACTCCAGCATTCCATGGTTGGTAGCATCCAGCTCCCTGCTAATGGCCTCAGAAAAGCAGCAGCAGCAACAGGTACAAGTGTTTGGTCCCCTGCAACCTATATGGGAGACTCAGGTGAAGCTTCTGGCTTTGGGTTTGCACAGCACGGGCCGTTGTGGCCATCTGGGGAGTGAACCAGTGGATGGAACACCTCTCTATCTTTATCTCTCTCTCTGTAACTGACTTTCAAAATAAATTTGTTTCTTTTTTTTATAGTTCCACAAATGTTTATGGCCTCTATGGTCTGATTGTTTAAATGAGCAGAAAACAGTAAACGCTTGTTCCCAGCCCCAGTACCGGTAAGCATCAGTGAGTTCCATGGTTATGCCAAGCTTAGCCCATCAGCATCCCAACACTTAAGCTAGCCAGTGGGACTTGTAGTCCCCCACAGAATCCACACCCAAACCTTATTCTCTTACATGCTGGTTGGTGTCATAGCCCAGTCTAATATGACCCATACCCTGATCTGACATTCACTGTCAGGTACTGGAATCTATCCGTGCCAGACAGGCCCCCAGCCACAGCTTGTATATGTGCTGCCATGTGATGGTCAGCCATGTACCACGTACATGGTCCTGTGGTACTGTGTACCACAGGAGTCCCATGTGGGCTGGTGCATCAGTCTGACTCATAAGTATCTTCAGATCTCTCCCCTCCAAACCACCATGTCTCAGACCCCTCACTTACCTGCAAGTGCAGTGGCCCTGTCATTGGGTGTCCCTCAGGACACCAAACCTCACCTACATGTATGGCCTTATCCATGGGTGTCCCTAGGCAGTAGTTCCATATCCCCAAGACCCTAGGGCTCGCCACTGGGTAGCCAGTGGGAGAAGTCTGGCATAAGTTGGCACTCTGGACACCCACAAGCCCAGGACCCTCACCAGCCGAGCAGCAGTGGATGAGGAGCTTGATCCCCAGCAGGAAGCCTGGCCCAGCCCAGGTTTTCCCAGTGACAGCCACAGGGCTGAGAGATCCAGACACCTGCATCGCTGCTCAGACTTACCCGAATTCCACCCACCAACATGGTGGCAGTGGGCGGAGCCATGGTCCTGAGCATGTCCAGAGACGTCTGAGATCTGTCTCCAGCATGGTCACTGCAGACAGAGGAAGTTCTTGGACCTCGAGCTTGGACAAACCCAGGACCCTCCCCCACTGCCCAGCAGTGGTGGATGGGGAGCTAGGATCCCCAGCAGGAAGCCTGGCCTGGCTCAGGTTCCCCGAGCCACAGTCATGTGGTTAGGGGATCCAGACACCCATCTGCTGCTCAGACTTTCCTGAACTCCACCCATCAACAAAATCTCTTCTTTTAAATATTTTCTTTCAGCAATATGAGGCAACTGTTACTTCAAGTACATTCATAATGCTCAATATAATTCAAAAAGAAGCATAAGAATTGAGTTTCCCAGTGGTAACACACAGAGATAGAAACTCACTGATAATAGAATGGTCTCAAAAGACCTGCCAGTTCAAGCCTTACTTAGTCTTCTTTTGCTTAAAAAAAAAAGAGAGAGAGAGAATCAAAATGGCAGAATATGGTAAGGACACATTTAAACAGACAGAGAAGCATTAGCCAGGGTAAAGCAGAGAGGATACATTCTAGCAAATAGGAAAAGACAGAACAACAGCAGAGGGGTACCTGACTGACAGAGGAAAGCAGCGAACACAATGGCGTGGTGGTGCAGTGACTGATACCCCAGCATTATTCAGCTAACAATGATCTGCATTAAACCAACAGCCAGAACTACACCAGCAACAAGTTGGGAATGAACGTTCACCAGAAGCTCAGGAGGTGAACCCATGCAAAGAACTGCCCATCCTGCTGGTCTGTTGATTTGGCCAGGAGCAGAGACAGAGCAACAGGTCTCAGACGGGCAGTGTGGGAACAGGGTGAATTTCACAACCCAGTTGGTACACTAGAGCTGAATCAGGTGCCATTTTGTTTAAGGAGGCAAAGGCTACAGACAGTACCACATGCACTGAGCTGGGAGTGAACTCATTTCTGGCTCAGTGAATTGCAACAGTATGGCATCCTATAGGTTCCACCCAAGATAAGTCCCTATAGTCCTCAGACCTGACAGCCAACAGATCAAGAACTCTAGTAATGGCACATCAGGTGCCATTTTGTTCAGTGTGGTAAAGGCTTTAAGACTGCAGGGACAACAGTGAGCTGTGTATGTACTGAGCTCAGCAAGAACTCACTGAACTCAGTACATGGCTTTAGTTCCACAGGCAAAATAATACCAACTTTGACATCATAAGGGTCAAAATAGATCCGTGTGGCCCTCAGATCTAATGGCCAACAGATTCCAGCAATATCATCACCACCAACAACCTAGCAATATAGGACTCCTGGTATTTCCCTAATCCTGGGGACTGCCCCAATCAGAAGTGGGGAAAAGGTTGTACAGAAAATGGTGCAGCCTCATCACAGTGTCACAAGAGGTAGAAAGTGGTAAACCAGGAGTTGGGGCTACGGAGACCAATGTAGAAATCTAACATAAGAACCCAGACCTGGAACTCGCTGGAGGGAGTGGCACAAGTGACTGCAAACAAAGAGCCATGTACCAACTGCAATAAGTAAAATCAAACTGTAGATCTGAGGGTGACACAGCTTAGAAACTTGCTCCAGGAGAAGAATCTGATAACCAGAAGTACAATGACCAAGAGCAAAAGAAGAGACAAGGCACAATGAATATTACTGAAGACTCCCCTGCAAAGGAACAAAACCTTTTGCCAACTTCAGAGTTAACTGAGGAAGACAGTGAGAAAATGGGGAACACAGAATTTAAAACAATTATAAAGCTTCTTATCAATGAGAAGCATGTAATACAGGCATTCAAGAAATTAAGGGAATGTGTTACACAGGAAATAGCAACAATAAATCAAAGCGGATATATCAGAAATGAAGAATAGAGTGGAACAAATTAAAAGTACAGTGGAGACTGCTGGTGAGGCTGCAGGTTAGTACAGCCTTTATGGAAATCAGTATGGAGAACACTTAAACAACTCAAAATCTGCATACCATATGATTCAGCAATAGCACTCCTAGGAATATATCCAAAGCACCTGTTTCACGACAAACCAACATGCACCCCTATGTTCATAGCAGCACAATCAGTAATTGCAAAAACATGGAAGCAACCGAAATGCCCATCAGCAGAAGATTGGATAAGAAAGCTTTGGTTCATCTACTCCATGGAATACTACTCAGCTATTAAAAAAAACAAAATGCAGTTCTTTGTGGCTAAATGGGCCCACTGGAAACTATAATGCTAAGGGAAATGAGCGAATCCCAAAAGGTTAGATACCACATGTTTGCCTTAATTTAACCTGTATTTTTTTTTATCCTGTCATTGATACTGTCTCAACACATGTGTTTTGAAAAATTGAACTTGCATTACTTTTAACATATTGTTTACTCAATACTATGTCAATCAATTCCATAACACTATATATTGTTGCTGATGTTTTGTTGGGGCTTTTAACTGACTGGGATTTTACTCTGTTAGCTTTGCCTTCAGACCAGGGAAGGCCTCCCCAAAAGTACAGTGGAGAGTTTCCAAAATTGAATGAAACAAACAGAAGAAAGAATCTCAAATCAGAAGATATTTCTGTTACCAGGGGGAAACAAACAAAAAGTTGGAAGCAGTGCTGGACCAGACCAAAAAAAATATTCAAGAATCGAAAGACACTATTAAAAGGCCAAATGTAAGAGTTATGGGATTCCCAGAAGGTGCAGAAAGAGAAACTGGGATTAAAGGTGTATTTAATAAGATAATAAGGGAAATTTTCCCTAATCTAGAGAAAGAATTGGGAAACAACATTCAGGAGAGTCACAGAACTCCCAACGGTGTTGAGCTAAAGCGATCTTCACCATGACACATGATAATCAAGCTCTCTTCAATCAGACATAAGGAAAAGATCCTTAAATGTGCATGTGAACAAAAATCAACTGACATACAAAGGAATGCCAGTTAAACTCACAGGAGATCTCTCACTGGAAACTCTACAGGCAAGAAGAGAATGGAGCAACATATTCCAGATTCTAAAAGCAAAAATATGAAAGGTTCAAATGTGAGAATGTGAAAAATAGCTCTTGTTCCCATCTGTCTCCCAGTAACTCTATACTGCTCCATGGGATTTTCTTTGTAAACATCAGAGATGGTCTACACATCTACAGGCAAGTGTGTGCATATCTACGTGCATGTGTACACTATATCTGTTGTACATACTGCTAACACTGCACAAATTATTCTGCATATTATTTCATGTTTAGCTTTGCTTAACAATAGACTTCAGAACTCATTTATATAAAGATCAGGCTATTTTTTAATGACTGCATAATATTCTATCATGCCTACCTGTGACATTTTATTTAGCCTTTCCTCTCCTGACAGACAATTGAGTTTCAATATTCTCTACTAGGCTGCAATGAGGGCTCTTGGATATTTATTCATTTGAAAAGCAGAAGGACAGAGATAAAACAAGAGAGAGAGAGGGAGAGAGAATTCTTCCATCTGCTTGTTCACTCCCTAAGTATCTGCAATGGCCACAGTCATGCCAGGCTGAAGCCAAGAACTCCACCTGGGTTTTCCACATGGGGTAACAGGAACCATTTATGGCACCACCCCCTGATGCCTTCTCAACACACACCAACAGGGAGCTGGCTCAGACATGAGCCTCTATTCTAGGACTCCAACAAGGAATGCCAGCTTGGCCCAAACTCCTGTGCCACAATGCAAGCTCCAGGTATTTGTCATTTTCTACTTGTATGAGTACAACTGCAGGATAAAATCCTAAAAGTCGAGTTTTCAGACCAAAAGACACATACCTTTGTGACAGTGATTGATGTTACGGCACATATCTCCGATGGCTCTCCAACAGTGTGTTATCACACCTTCTCTCACATGTGTTACATCTGATAAGTGAAAAAAGATGCACCAGTGTTGTTTCAATTTGCTTTGTCTTACTGGAAAAAAGGCTAAACACTTGTTTATGCACTTGAGCCTCTTCTATAACTTTTTTCTACTTTTCTATGAGCACACTGCTCTTTTATGATATTATAGGAGCTGCTCTTTTGTTAGGAAAATCAGTGATTCGGGCAGTGATATGAGTGGCAGATGTTTTTTCTCTTTGTTATTCGTCTGTTGATTTTGATTACCAAGTGCTTCGCTTGGCAGAAATGTTATACTTTGATTTGCTTCAATATATTAATGATATCACATCTGTTTCTGCATTTTGTCTTTCTCATTAAGATGATTTTTTAATTCTTCCATCATTTTTTCAAAAACTTCCATGATTCTTTGTTCAAATTTACATATTTATTCCACTATAAACTGTTTGTGTACACCATTTGCTGACTATTTCTATCTTTTCTCCACTGACTAAAACCACATTTTATAGTATAAAAACTAATGACTAATACTTTCAATGTTTAGAACCAAAACAACTCCATTTACACGTACAAGTTTCTAAATAAGTAGCCACTAAAAAGCAAATACTGCATGTTCTCACTCATATATGGAATCTAAAGAAGTTGATATCACAGAATTAAAGTAGAATGGTGGCCACCTGTGTCTGGGAAGGTGAGAGCATGGGGAGCTTGATTAACAAGTTCAAAATCATAGCTAGTTAGGTGGAATAAGTTCTAGTGTTCACTAGTATAAAACATGGGCTACAGTTAATAATAATCTATTACACATTTCAAGACCACTAGAAGAGGCGGTTTTCATTGTTCATAATACATAAAAGTGATTTTTGAGATAACGAACATGTTATTGCTCTGATTTATCACTACATGCTATGCACATGTGTTGAAACATCACACAGTATGCCATACATTTATATACTCTTAAGGCATACTGAAGATCTTTTTGAGATGATCCCTTAGTAAATTTAACATGATAACAAGACAATATAATAAATATCTTGCTTAGCACTCATCCCTTTTAAAGATCTGCTAGGAACCTCAACTATGGAGCCAGCAAGTTCTTCCCCTAGCGGCTGAGGGTCCCCAAGAAACATGAATAGCAACCTCCCAGCTCTGCCTGTAGCAAGACTCCCCTAGGTCCTGATCTCCAATCAAAGGTCCATTCAAGCCAGAAGCCAATAATGTCACACTGTTTGTGGGCCACGTCAGTGCATAGTGAGAGCTACAGTGACATGCAAAGGATAGAAGAGGTCAAACCTGGGAACCTGAACACTTTGATGCTTCTGTCCACCCCCAAAGTCCTCCGAACTCAAGAGAGAACTGAGAGATGTAGCTTCTGACAGGCAGAAAATAACCTTGCCATGGAACGTGCCTCACCTTACTCCCTTGCTCAAAGGGACCAGTAAGCAGAGACCTACCACACACCAGCTCAGAGTGTGTGTGTGTGTGTGTGTGTGTGTGCGCGCGTGTGTGTGCGCGCGTGTGTGTATGGTGAGAGAGAGTAAGAGATAGGGATTGAGCTGCACATGCACGCACACAGAGAGAAAGAGAGAGAGGGAGAAAGAGAAAGAGAGAAAGGAAAAGAGCAAAGTTTCTAAAGTGGGGATTGCCTGAATTTCTTTGTTGCCTGAGATGGTTTGACTGGATCCCAACATGCTTTCCTTAGGGGATGCTCAGGAAGGAATCAGAATAGTTAAACTGGACTGGACTGATTTTTCCTGGAGATTAGGTAACAGAGATAGGAATAATACAAGTTTGCTCTCTTTCTTTCTTTTTCTTTCTTTCTTTGCTTCCTTCTTTCTTTCCTTTCTTCCTTCCTTCCTTCCTTCTTGAATCTGAAATAAGTTTACTGCAAGAAGTGGATACAGATAAAAATTTATTCAAGCAATTGGGACTTTCTGCACCCATATGGGAGACCTGAAGAAGCTCCTGGCTCCTGGCTTCAGATCAGCTCAGCTCTGGCCATTGTGGCCACCTGGGTAGTGAATCAGCAGACAGATGATCTTTCTCTGTGTATCTCCTTCTCTCTAACTGCCTTTCCAATAAAAATAAATATTGTTTAATTTAAAAAATTTAAAAATTGAAAACCACCTCATGTACTTTACCACAGCCACGAAGACTAGATTATGTAGTCAGATTATTATTAGGCTCTCAAATGATTGATCAACTATGATCAACTAAAAAATTAAGGGGCATGTCTTCTGCTGCGGGGGGGGGGGGGGGGGGGGGGGGGAGTGGGGATCTTTCCGAAAAATCATCATGGGCTGCCCTGGCCCTGTTCTAGATGAAGTTCCTTGTTTGTGTGAACAACCAGCATGCATTCATCTGCACAAGCAGGAACCCAATGATCCCCTTCACACCACCCCGCTGATGCACACATAGAGAAGCCTCTATCAAGTCCTGATGGCTTTACCTCCTAAACTCATCTGAGGCCACCTGCAGCTCTCCAAGCTCTTCAAGCTTCATCCAAACTGCCATCCTGCCTCACCTGGTGACCATAGCTGCCTCCTGAGTTCCCACATTAACCCAGGCTCCCTTCCATCTGCTTTCCACACTGTAGCATTGGCCTTTTCTAAAGACAAATGCCTTTTTCTCTTCTTTTTTTCTTACCCTGTACAAAACCCATTAGGTAGTATAAAGCAAGGCAAAGTGCTAGCCTAAGTTATAAGAAGCTACCTTACAGGATATTCCCAGAATGCAATAACCCCTCATGCAGGTGCATGACATCTAAGTCAATAGCGCTCTGATCCTAACCTAATCAGAGTAGGAGATTTAAAATGGAGGATTTCAACAGTACTGCATCCTACTGGCATGGCTGATGAGGCTCCAGTCGGGGCAGAGATCCCAAGACATGGTAGCAAAACCAATCTTCCAGGCAACAGTCTCTAAGACAGTCCTTGGAGCCCCATCTTACTCTTCATTTCTCGTTCCTTTCAGCTGAGCTTTTTGCACGGCACATCACCATCCCTTTCAACCCCTCGTAAAGCTTTGTCTAAAGCCCACAACATCATCAATGCCTGTCTCCTCTCCAGTTCTAAGCACAGGCACTAGAAAATTACTGAATAAACATTTGCAGCCCATGATCTACATTCCCAAGGCTTCAGTTTCAGGCAAGAGTTAGTGAACCAATCATACAGTCTCTTTTACATTTTGAAAAATTAAAGGCTGCTGTCACATACCTCTCAGTTTGGCCAAAATCCACATCACGACAATGTCAAATGCTGGCAAGAACACAGAGTAGCAGGAGCACTCGCTCATCACTGGTAGAACTATAAAGCAGCACAGACACTTTGCAAAATAATTTGGCAGTCTACTATAAAACTAAACATATCTTTACCATGCCATCCAGTCATCATGTTTGATAGTAATTATCCAAAGGAGCTGAAGACTTTTATCTACACAAACCTACACACATATGTATATAGCACTTTTACTCATAATCACCAAAACTAGGCAGTAGCCAAGACATCCTTCAGTAGGTGAATATATAAACAAACTATGGCACCCCCATTTAAGCAATACGTTTTTCATCAGTAAAAGAAATGAGCTGTCAAATCTTAGAAACACTTGAAGGAAGCATAAACTTATCACACTGAGAAAAAGAAACTAATCTGAAAAAGTCACATATGGTAAGTTTCAAATTACCTGACATTCTAGAAAAACTATACAAATACAAAGATCAGACAATACAAAGATCAGAGGTTTCTGGGAGCTAAGGGGAGGAACGAACAGGCAGAGCAGAGAGGATAGTTTGGAGGGCTAAAACACTGTGTATGATACTATAACGGTGGGAATGTGTCATTCTGCATTTATCCAAACTCCTTGAACAATAACATAGAGGTTAGCACACAGCAACAGCCAGCATCCCAAGCACCAGCTCAAATCCTAGATGCTCTATTTCTGATCCAGATCCTTGCTAACATATCTGAAAAAGCAGAAAAATATAGCCTACATGAACTTGAGTCCCTGACATCTATGTTGTGGGACGATGCTAGAGTTCTAGGCTCCTGGCTTTGGCCTGACCCAACCCCAATTATTTTGGCTACTTGAGGAGTGAACCAGTGGATGGAAAAATCTCTTTGTTTCTCTTTCCTTCTCCATGTCACTCCACCTTTGAAAAAAAATTAAAAATAGTAAGCCCTAATAAAACTATGGGTTTTAGGGGAAAATGATGTGTCAACATCATTTAACCAACCGTAAGAAACACATCACTCTCTTTTAGGATACTGATGACAATGGAGGCTACACAAGTCTGCAGATAAGGACTATGGGGGAAAAATCTCGATCTTCCATTCAATCTGTGTGAACCTAAAACTGTTTCAAGAAGTGAAATCCATCAAAAGGATCAAATAAAAAAATGTGAGAATTATCTAGAGGAAACTGATGAACTGCTGGGCTAGGAAAGAGGAATGTGTGAAAACCTGCCCATGTTTGCACTACAAAAAACTCTGGCTGATTTAAATAGGAAAAGAAGTTTGATAGAAGGGTACCAGGTGTCATAGATATTGCCAAAGTCACAGCCAGGGACAGTGCCCCAAATCAGCACTTCCTGATGCAGCTGGAAATAAGCACTGCCTCCGAAAGAAGTAGGCTCCTCCATACTGTATGCAAACTCGGAGGATGAGAAGCCAAGAATCACAACACAGCTATTCCATTCTTAAGTATTCCACTCTTAAGACACCAAACTTTTCAGGCAGACCTTTCCATTCATTCCAGAAACATATCTGAATACCCACTGTGTCCCTGCAACTGTCCTACATCAAGGCACAAAGGGAAAGGGAATGTTGTTCTTGAGTTTTCATTGCTGCAGTCAGCACACCTTTTTAAAAATATATCTCAGATGCTTTGACATCTGCAGCCTTGCTGACACAGGCCTATCTGAGTCCCAGACACAGTCAACAACGTGACTACAAATCACCTTCCAAAAACTCCAGAGCCTAAACTTCCACCAGAGCCTCTGTTCATCCCTCGGCTGCAATCACCACAGACTAGATATCAGAAAAACAGAGACAATTCCAATGATCCAAACCCACAGAAATCACTCAAGCCGATCTTAAACCTTGCCTCACCCACCCTGCAACTGCCGTGGAAGGGCAGGTGAGGCCAGCCAATCAAAGCAGAGCAAGGACTAAAGAGGAAATGCTGATCCCGCAGGAGGTGTCCACAGAGCAGGCCCAGAGCAGGTTCCACAGGAAAGAGGAGGGCCTAGGGAGGAGTCAAGGTAAAGGCTACATTATGGTAATGCATAATCCAGGTGGGCAGTGGGTGACCGAAGCGACACCGAACTTTTCAGGTAGACCTTTCCATGAGCATGGGAGGTCAGCTTGTAGTTATGGAAAGCACATAAGCTCTGCAAGGAGGCTGCAGGTGGGAAAAACCTCTCCAGGGTACAGAGGCAAGGAACTCCTTGTGAAGTTCTCCTGCCCTTTGCACAGGCTTATAACTCTGAGAATGATTATCTTCTCAGAGGAGGGTGGCAGCCACAGTGACATCAGCCTGGATGGGGCTGTGGTAGAAGGAAGTTACAAATGTATTTTTTAATTCAGATTTTTAAACGAAGGAGTTCAAGTTCCTCATTCCGAGTTCAAGTTCCTTATCCATAGACAGTGGGAGAGGTTTGAAACCCACTCCAGTCCTAATGGTCTCTGACTCCTCAACGCAGGATCCTTTCCCAGAAAAGACAGTGTTACGGACTGACTTGCATTCTCCCATCCACAAAATCCATAAGAGGCCCTTAAAAAGTTTATGAGTAATATACAGTGTGAACAAACACTATGGGACCTTCAAAACATTTTTACAGAAAAACAAATTCACTTTTATTCCATTCTCCACTGCTTTCTGGAAGTCCCCTTGTATGCAATACCTGGAATGTGACTGCATTTGGACAGAAGAGACTTTGAAGAGTAATTAAGGTTAACCACGGTAAGGCAAGGGAGCCCTGATTCAGTCTGGATGGTGTCTGGCCTTACAAGAAGCTGAAACTTCAACCCACAAAGAGGAAGATACAGGAGAAAAATACAGGAGGCACACAGCAAGGAAGCCATCTGCCAGCCAAGGAGGAAAGCCTCTGGAGAAAACACACCAGCTAACGCTTCCACCATGGACTCCCAGCCTCCAGAATCATCAGAAAACATATTTGTTGTTTAAGCCCTGCCATCTGTGATATTTTGTTACATTACCCTGATAAACTAGCACATATGCTAACAGACCACTTATTTGAAACTTAAATTGGGAGCAGGTGTTTAGGCCACTAGTTAAGATACCAGTATTCCACAGGGGCTCCTGACTCTACCTTTCTGATCAGTAAGTTTCTAGGAAGTAGCAGATGACAGATCAAGTAATTGGGTCCCTGTCTGCCATGTGGGAAACCTGGATTGAGAGACCTAGTTCTTGGTTCTGGCCCTGGCCCACCCAACATTACATGGATTTGGAGAAGTGAACCAGCAGGTGTACTCTGTGTGTGTGTGTGTGTGTGTGTGTGTGTGTGTACACGCAGCTCTCAAACAAATGAATAAATAAATGACTTAAGTTATCCAGAAAGAAGACCTCAAGAGGAAGTCTCAAAATGCCCTTTGGGCTCTTTTGATGTTCAGCCAATTCACCCAGACTCCGTGCCATGACTAATGAGAGTCAGTTCAATAGAACAAACATTGACTGAATGCCAGTCACAGTGTGAGGTGCTGGCAAAACACATCTAGTCCTCCAAGGTCATGAGGTTTGAGAAGGCAGCAGCAAAGAGAAGGTCTACCAAAATTCTAACTTCAGCCACAGAAGCAGAAGCTCTTCCCCCATCACATGTGGCTGGAGCCCAAACTGTTGTTCTCCTGGGTTGGTACTGCATCCATCCCTTCCAGAGGATCTAAGAGATCATTGTTAGATTGTTGTTAGAAGCAAGAAAAAGTAGACATCCACACCCTTGGTTTATTCACCCCTGCAGAGGTGAAACTAGGACTGACTGCTCCCTGTGGGAAACTCCCCAGCTCAGAACACAACAAAAGATGAAAAACGAACTAGAAAACCTTCCTAGTGGGGGGCAGGCATTTGATACTGTGATTCAAACACTGCTTGGGACACACACACACATCCCTTACCAAAGTGTCTGGGTTCAAGTCCTAGCTGCACTTCTGATTTCAGCTTCCTCCTAATAAGCAACCGGGGAAGCAGCAGATGATGGCTCAGGCACTTGGGCCCCTGCTACTCATGTGGGACACCAAGGTTGATGTCTGGACTCCTGGCTTCAGCTCAGCCTATCCCCGGCCTATCCCTACCCTGTCCCCAGGTGTTGCAAGTATTTGGGGAGTGAATCAGCAAATGGAAACTCTTTCCCCTCCCCTTTAAAATAAGCTAACAATTAAATTAATTTTTTGGGCCATGAATACTATATGGAGGTCAGGTTGCAAAACATTCACAAAATATTCTTGAATATACCTAGAAAAACAAGGATATGGGAGAAATCCCAAATATAAGCCCTGTTTTTGGATAAAAATATGATGAAATAACAAGAGAGAGAAGATAAGGAAATAACAATTAATTTAACTTAATTAATGCTCTGGCAGAGGTGAGCACCTTTGAAATCATTATTATCACCAAGTCTTTATGCCATTAACAATGTTAACATGAAAAGCAAAGGTTAAATACTCTAGTTAGAGTCCCACAAACAAACCCACACAGTATGTAAACATTACCAGACACCCTGAGTAGCCAAACATCCACCAGGAGAGCCCAAAATGCTCATTACGCAAGTGACAAAGTTCTAAGCTTGATCCTAGAAGCCGATTCAACCAGGACAGTATAGCATAAAGATGGTCTTTCTAGAGCTGGCACTGTGGCATAGCAAGCTAATCATCTGTCTGAGGTGCTAGTATCCCATTTGTACGCTGATCTGAGTCCCAGTTGTTCCACTTCCCATTCAGCTGCTTGTTTGTGACCTGGGAAAGAGCAAAGTCTTGGTCCCTGAACCCATATGGGAAACCCTAAGGAGGTTCCATGCTCCCAGCTTTGGACAGGCTGTGCTCTATCCATTGCAGCCATCTGTGGAGTAGATCTGTCTCTTCTTCTTTCTCTTCATAATTCTTCCAAGTAAAATAAATCTTTAAAAAAAAAAAAAAGAACTGTCTTTCTAAATGGTCCTTTTAAAATCCTTTTTCTTTGTTCACCAGGGTACTTCAAAAGTTTCTGAAAAATAGAATTTAAAAATAAGTTTATTTTGGTACAAAGAAGTTGAAGGCTATAGTTTTCAATAATATGAAATTTTCATGAGTTTTTTGAAGAGTCTTCATATACACAATCTCAAAATTTTTGCATCAAGATAAACTTATCTTTTATTTCCATTCCACAAACTATCTGGAATGCTGTCCCTGTCAGCAGAGAAAACCCAGGGGTTAGAGCTTCTAGGGTCCCCTCTCCTCAGGAAAAGCTGACAGCCGCTTCCA